TGCCTTATTATCGGGGAGGTCTTATTATCGGGGGGATGCCTTATATTACAACGAGAGGCAAAACTGTAAGTAGGCCTTATTTTCGGAGGATGTCTTATTTTCGGGGAAACAGGGTACATTCAGGCCACTTCCCACTGCACTACTGGCACACAGAAACTTTAAAACTAGCATAGCAAGCCACAACGGGATCAGCCCACTGTGTGGGAATCCTCTGGTGGGACAGTGAATAATGGCTCTGACCCTACCCACATCTCTACAGTCGGGGTAAGAGGCATGACAAGGGGAATTAGGTGTGTCTGCACCCAGTGATCCGAGGCTGCTGCTCAGGGTTATTGGCAAACAGCGTAATTTAGAGCAGCCAGGGGCCCATTCTAGTGCTCAGCAGCTCTGAATTATGGGAGAACAAAGATAGCTTAAATTAAGACACCTTTGCATGCCTCCCAAGCTGCACTACTCCCCCTTTGGCTGCAGTCAATGACTACTTTTATGCTATTTGTGTGAACTAAAAATGAGATACTAGTTGATTTAGACACCGCACCAAAAATAATCACAGAAACGTAGGACTGGAAGAGACCTTGATAGGTCATCTAGTCCAGTTCCCTGCATTGACGCAAGACTAAATATTATTTAGACCAGTGGTTCTCAAACTTATTTGATTGGGCCCCCCTTCTTTGTGTCTGTACTTGGTATATGTACTTGGGGGGAGGGGTGTAAACAACACCCAGCTCTCAAGACAGAGCAGAGAGAAGCGGCTGCTGGCCAGGCGCCCAGCTCTGAAGGCAAGCATGCGCCAGCAGCAGGCAATGTGAAAAGTGATATTTGTCAATATCACTTTTCACAGCAGACTTTGTGCCCCATGGCCACCCTTGCTTCTGAGCTGCTGGTGCCACTCCCAGAGCCGCCGAGAGCTGGTTCAGGCCCCGGTGAAAAAAAATTTTCGGGCCCCCCCAGCAAGGACGGACCAGCTAAACAGGACCGACGGGGGGGGGAGGGGAGGGAGGAAGAGAGAGAAGCCGGGCCCCGGTAATTTGTACCGGCTTCCCCCCCCTCTCATCGGCCCTGGCCACCCCAGAGGTGACAACCAGAGCCCTGCCACCTCCAGGTGAGGGATTGGGGTCGGGCTGAGAGAAGAGCCCAAGCCTGGGTGCCGGGGCTCCAGTTGTCAGTCTAGGGCGGCAGGGCTCCGGCTATCCTCTTTATCCCCACCTCCTGGTTATGCATGGCCCTTCTGCATAAGCCCCAGCCACCCAGGACTGATAGTCAGAGCTCTTAAAAAAAAAAACGTAAAAAAAACCAACAAGCATACAGCTCGCACGTCCCTTGGAAGGCCCACCCCATAGTTTGAGAACCGCTCATCTAGACCATCCTTGACAGGTGTTTGCCTAACCTGTTCTTAAATACCTCCAATAACAGAGATTCCACAACATCCCAAGGTAATTTGTTCCAGTGCTTAACTACTCTTAGTTTTTCCTAATGTCTAACCTGAAACTGCCTTGCTGCAATTTAAGCCCATTGCTTCTTGTCTTACCCTCAGTGGTTAAGAAGAACAATTTATCACCCTCCTCTTTATAGCAACCTTTTACGTACTTGAAGACTGTTGTCATGTCTTCGCCAGAATAAACCAACCCATTTTTTCCCCAGCTTTCTTCAGAGGTCATGTTTTCTAGACCTTTAATCATTTTTGTTGCTGCCCTTTGGACTTTCTCCAATCTTTCCTGAAGTGTGATGCTCAGAACTGGACACAGTACTCCAGCTGAGGCCTTATCAGGGCTGAGTAGAGCAGAATTACTACTTCTCCTGTCTTGCTTACAACACTCCTGCTAACACATCCCAGAATGATGTTTGCTTTTTTAGCAACAGTATTGCATTGTTGACTCCTATTTAGTTTGTGATCCATTTTAACCCCCAGATCTTTTTCTGCAGTACTCCTTCCTAGGCAGTCATTTCCCATTTTGTATTTGTGCAATCAATTAGTACTTTGCATTTGTCCTTATTGAATTTCATCCCATTTATTTCAGACTATTTCTCCAGTTTGTCAAAATAATTTTGTATTCTAATTCTGTCCTCCAAAGCGCTTGCAACCCCTCCCAATTTGATATCATCTGCAAACTTTGTTAAGTGTACTTTCTATGCCATTATACAAATTATATACAGCAATGGTTCTCAAGCAGGGGTACGTGTACACCTCGGGATACTCAGAGGCCTTCCAGGGGGTACATCAACTCATCTAGTTATTTGTCTAGTTTTACAACAGGCCACATAAAAAGCGCTAGAAAATTCAGTACAAACTAAAATTTAATACAGACAATGACTTATTTATGCTGCTATATATACACATTGAAATGCAAGTACAATATTTATATTCCAATTGATTTATTTTATAATTATATGGTAAAAATGAGAAAGTAAGCAATTTTGCAGTAATAGGGTGCTGTGACACTTCTGTATTTTTATGTCAGATTTTGTAAGCAAGTAGTTTTTAAGTGAGGTGAAACTTGGGGGTACACGAGACAAATCAGACGCTTGAAAGGGGTACAGTAGTCTGGAAAGGTTCAGAGCCACTGCTCTACACGACCCCACTGGATATGCCCTTCCAGCTTGACTGTGAACTATTAATAACTGCTCTCAGAGTACAGTTTTCCAACCAGTTATGCACCCACTTTATAGTAGGTTCATCTAGTCTATATTTCCCTAGTTTGTTTATGAGAAGATCATATGCGACAGTATCAAAAACCTTACTAAAGTTGAGATATCTCATATCTGCTGCTTCCCCCCATGCAGAAGCCTTGTTATCCTGTCAAAGAAAGCTATTAGGTTGGTTTGACATGATTTGTTCTTGACAAATTCATGTTGACTGTTAGTTATTATCTTCTAGGTTCTTACAAACTGATTATTTACTCCACTGTCTTTCTGGGTACCAAAGTTAAGCTGACAGGTCTACAATTCCCCGGGGTTGTCCTTATTCCCCTTTTTATAAAAGGGCAAATATAGTACCCTTTCCCAGTCCTCTGGGATCTCTCCTGTTCTCCATGAGCTCTCAAAAATAATTGCTAACAGCTTAGAGATCTCTTCAGCCAGTTCCTTAAGAATTCTAGGATGTATTTTATCAGGTCCTACTTACTTAAAGGCATCCAACATGCTTAAGTAACTCTTAATTTGTTGTTTCCCTATTGTAGCCTCAGATCCTACTCCATTAACACTGATGTTCACTATGTCAGTTGTCCAATCACTGCTAACCTTTTTGGTGAAAACAAAAAAAAGCATTCAACCCTTGGTCATTGCTGTGTTTTCTGTTATTGTCTTTCCCTCCTTATTGATTAATGGACCTACCCTGTCCTTGGTCTTCTTCTTGCCTCTAACATCTTTGTAAAATGTTTTCGGCATTTATGCACCAAGCTAGTTTAATCACGTTTTGTGTCTTGGCCTTTCTAATTTTGTCCCAACGTGCTTGTGTTGTTTTTATGCATTGTGCCAAAGATATAAAATGTCAATTTGAATGAAAAATATTAAAGTGTGGAGAACAATGGCAAAGAGTTCCAAGAAGATCAGTAAATAATTTTTAAGGCAAAACAACCTGATGCCAAAAAGAAAATTGGATAGTAATACCAGGAGATGATAAGGTCAGCAATACAAAGTATAACATGCTATCTCAACACGTTTTACATCAGCAAGAGAATGACAGGATTTAGCAGCAAGAGATGACGGACAGACTTCTTTTGTCTAGCCTCCTAACCATCACTGCTCAGCTATTATCATCTGCTTTCCGACTTCATGCCTCAGCCTTAAAGGGATGTTGTCTGGTGGTGTATTTTTTAATAAACATTTTACCTGTTGTAGAGGTAAACAACATTAAAAGTAATTTACTTTTCTACTAGATGTGCTTTTTTTTTGGTCTAGATTTCTCAGTGTGGCACTGAAAGCAGACTAGTCAATTTTAATTTTATTTATTTTCAGTCAATTCAATTGCAGGTTCATGCTGTAGCATCTGAGTTTCAGAAGCTACTGAGAAATCTTTGTTAGTTTTCAAACATTATCTATAGGAACACACTATAGGGACATTAGGAACACACATTATCTATAGGAACACACGTTATCTAAAGGAACACTGCTATAATTTTGCAGTTTTGTAAAACACAATGCATAGCAGTTTTGTAAAGCACAATGGTACTAGATAAGTAGGTAGACAGGCAGAAAGAATCTTTACTTATACAGCACAATTTCAGTTTAGTGTCTGTCAGACAAACTGCATCCCAAATTACTTTGCAGAGCTAAATAATATATTTACAGAGATAAAATTAAAGCAGAGGGAGAGAGAAATTAGGAGATAGAGGCCTGAGAAAAGATGGCATGAGGTAGGCTGAGGCAAGGAGGTACAAGAAAGCTAACGCTCATAACTAAATCTGATCCCCTAGGTGCCAGAAAGTAATTCTACCAGTTCCATGCCACTTCCTTTTGTCACGTGTGTTACAAGACGTCCTCACATACTGTAGGGAAACAGATAAGTGATGCCAATGGCCTGGATTGACCCCACAAGCCCCTTTCAGGTCTGCTCACTTATTAGTCAGACCTCTCTCTCTTTTAGGCAGCGTTGTTGTAGCCCTGTTGGTCCTAGGATGTTAGAAAAACAAGGTGCGTAATATCTTTTATTGGAGCAACCAGAAGCACTCTGTGTAGCTCCAAAGTTGGTCTCTTCCACCAACAGAAGTTGATCCCATAAAAGACATTAGCTCTATACATCCCTCTGGTTAGTTTCATTACAAAAGGAGGGGCTGGAGTTCACAGCTGTGACTCTTTAGGGATGAAAGGCCAAGTCCAGCAGCCCCCAGTAGGCTAAACTCCCTGGGATGTTATCGCACCCCTATCCCCCGCTCCAGATGTCTCCTGCCAAGGGGACGGGTGCACCGTGGGCGTGGGCAGCACGCGTAGATGCCAGGATGCTCCCAGAGGCGCCGGGCCAGGCGGTGCAAGGGGCAGAGGCGGCGGCTGGGGACCCGACTCACCTATTCGGCTGAAACTCTCCGACAAAGTTCTCCGCAACTTTTTCATCCTGCTGCTTTTCTCGGCGGACTGCGCGTCCAGCATAGCACACAGCTCGGCGGCGCCGGCCAAGCGCAGGGGGAGGGAGGAGCCCGATCGCCCGGCGCCCCCCGCCGCGGGACCCTCCTTCCCCACCGCCGCTCACACCGCCGGGGAGGGAGCGCGACGTAGTGCCCAGGGCAGGCTCATCGCCTCCCGTCGGGGCTCCGGAGCCAGCCCTGGCGGGGCGCAGCCGGGGAGAGCAGCACGGAGCGGCTGGGGGTGCCCCGAGGCGCGCGGGGGAAGGGGGCAGCCCTGCCCGGGTGCCGCCGGCTGCTCGGACCCGCCCCGGTTAGCGCAGCAGCAGCAGCGGCCGCGTCCCCGCCAGCTCCAAGCCGAGCGGCAACTCCAGCAGCCTCCGCTGTGCCGCCCTCCCCCGCCTGCCCGCCCCGCTCCGCCCCCGCCCGCCTCGCTGATTGGCCGGGAGAGCGCCGTGGCTGGGGCCCGGTGGCCCTTGGAGGCGAGTGCTGGCCGGCAAGGGCGGGGCTGGGGTCCAGACTGCTGGGTGCGGGGGGGCGTTGGTGGGACCAGCCTGCTGCGTGTAGAAGAGGGGGGGTTGGTGGGACCAGGCTGTGGAGGGGGGTGCAGGCTGATGGCTGCAACCAAGGGGGTGGGGTTAGTCAGTCCAGGCTGCTGGATGCAAGGGGGGGCTGGTGGGTCCAGTCGGGGGGGGGGCGGTCCAGGGTGCAGAAAGTGGGGGGTTGGGGGTCCAGGCTGATGGGTGCAGGGGGGAGGTTGGTGGGGCCAGGCTGATGGCTGCGGGGGGGGGGTTGGTGTGATCAAGGTGCTGGGTGGGGGGGTTGGTGGGTCCAGGAGGGTGGTTGCATCAAGGAGCTGGTGCTGAGGAGAGGGGGTAGTGGATTTAAGAGACCTTACATAGGACTGTGGCTCTTCTCACCCCGAAGGCTGTGGACAAAAGAGGCTGGAAGGGGCCCTCTGGTCTGCTGGCTGTTTGTGTTGATCTTCCTTCCAGTGACTTTAACAGGGCAGACCATAAGGGAGATCCCACTTTTTACCACAGCTCATGCCGTCAAAGATTAAGAACATCACTGATTTGTACATTAAACCCAAGGCAAAACAATCTGTAGATCTCCAGCTACTAATTATCACTGTCGCATGAATGTATTCTGTAGGGATTGAATGGGCAACAAATACCGATTACTCATTAGGATTACCATACACCGCACCACCCTACTGCACTGTGATCTAGAGCACATACACAAAGCAGACTTAAGCCAGGGGAGGGTGAATGCCAAGCAGTCAAGAGTTCACTTCAAACAGCAGTGGTTTGCAATGTTTACACAAGAGAGGAGGCTGAGACTTAGATGGAGTAAAAGAGTGAGATCTCACCACCCAGTATGCCTTGTCTCCAATTCCTACCAGCTGCACCCTTGGGACAGTTAACTTAGGCATTCTGGAGAAATGCAATTGGTGTAGGAGTCAAAGATGGAGAAGAGCATCTTGTATACCTTGTCTAGAGTAGGTTTAAAGGGGTATTGTTACCTAACACCTATTTACTAATGGTTTAAAAGGATAGTATGGACAAGGCACACTGACTCTTGAAGTCCAAACATGGCTCACCATCAGCCCCAAGATTTTAAAACACAGCCAGATAACACAGCTTCAAATGTGTTAGTCTAAACCTCAATGAGTGTTGAGAGTTTCTTGATCGTGTTAAGATAACTCAGTTGAACTAACATGATGATCTCTTTTGGCCAATCAAGACTGGGCCTTAGGGTATTTCTAGGCGAGAATAAGAGGTGAGTATTTTAAAAACACACACAAAACATGTTAGCTAACACAGGTTAACACTTTTTTAAACCCTAGGGTAGACAGGGCAAGTTGTATTTTAACACACATTGTCTGGTCAAGGTGAACCACCTGACACCTGGGTTATAACAGGGCTAACTAGCATAATTTTACAGGTATTAAATTGTGTCCACTCCATCTGTGAAGGAATGTTTCAAATCATGTTAGCTAACTCAATTTAAAAAGCACTGGACAGGCACTTGGGCCTAGATCATCTGCAACTGTCAAGTCTTTGGGGTAGGAACTGTCTTTTGCAACAGGCACATACACTACAGGGGTCGAGTATATGGCCTACCAGTCAGAGCTGACCCACATGATGTATTTGTATGGCCTTATGGCATATACAGATTGTGGAGAATATTAACTTTCCTTTTAAAAAGTACATTTCTTTAGCTCTCATGATTGTGAAGAAACCCTTCCACTTGTGACCCAAGAGTAAACAACTTATGCAGTGTTGCCTTTCTGAGGGCTTATCTACACAGGGAAATTTACTACACCAATAATAATAATACCAGTAATTATAACAGCGGCTTTTTTTCCAGTTTAGCTTATGGAAGCAACATAAACTAAACAAAAACATGCCCACTGTTATTCCAAAACAGACTCGACACATGGGAAGTTGTACAGGTATAACTACAGCACCATAAGTATACTAGTAATGCCAATCAATTTCTGTGGACAGCCTGAAACAATAGCTCTCAAAGGCATGAATTCTGTTATCCCCGTTAATTTCATTGGAGTGCTAACTAAAATAGCACTTCAATGTCAGTGATTTAATTGCTGGTCATATTAGCAGATAGAATGGGGATGGAAACTGGGAAATGTTGCAGAGAGGAAAATGCAAAGATAAGAGAGGAAGAGAGATACAAAGACAAGGAAAAGGGACAGAAACAGAGATGTGAGCATGGGGTAGGAAGAGGGAGAAAGGGTGCAAATAGGAGTAGGCCAAGGTGGCCATACTTTCCACTGAGTGATACTGAATGTGACAGTAAAGTACTCAATAAATAATAGTAACTAGAAGTTTAGTTACTAGATAAATGCCAGATTTTACCCTTGATCTCTATTCAAACTTCCCATTGATATCAATAAGAATTCTTGCTCTGGATGGAGGGAAGTACGGAAATGTATACTGTTATCCATGGACCATAACCAAAAGTAGAATTTGACCCTTTCCATATAATGAATTTGACACCTCTGGTGCACTCAGCTCCTAGCACAATTTGGACTCTGATCCCTGATTGAGGTCTTTAGGTGCTAATGTAATGCAATGTATGGTTTTGTGTATTGCAAGTAGCCATTCAGTTTCACCCAGAGATGGATGAGCACAGTGAAGAGGTAAGAGCACAGAGGCAGGATATAAACATGCTCATTAGCCCCGTGCAATTGCATTCTACACTAGCTCTATCTTCAAATGGCCCTGCACAACTAAATCCAGGTAGAGCACATTGCAGTGGTGTATCCTGTAGGTGTCTAAGTCACATGTGACACAGTCAAGGTACAGTCTATCTGGGAATCATTCTAGTTTTCATCTTGGCCACATTTTGATTTGAACTGACTTTTAAAAAAGAAATTCTGAGGCATTAGCCTCTCCTTTTGAACAGTGTCTGCAGCAGGACTTAAAAGTGTGCCAATTTATACATTGACATTTCCAGTGTCTTTTACTCTTGTTACTCATAAAAGACCTTGTGCCAAAGTTGTCCAAATGTCTGTCGGGCTCGTTGGGGGTAGGAGAGAGAGGCTGTGTTGTTTTTGGAGGCATATGATCAGAAATGTTAATAATCCCGAGTCAGCTGCTGAACAGAAAGCCCACGAGAGAGTGACTGTAATGCTTTGTTTACCTGAAACTTGAGGGATCGTGTGTGATCTATTGTCTTGTGCTTAAAGACTTAGTTTGGGACAAAACAATTGACGCAAGAGACTAGTTGCTCTTACAAAGCACTGAACTGCGTTAGGAAAGGGACAGAAAAACTGAAAAGTTCAAGGAACAGAAGAAAAAAGACAGCGCGATGTTAGCTTATAGTTCTGTTTATCTTGCATCGTCTGCTCCGGGCTTTGCATCCTGCAGTCCCTAGTCAGGTAACCCCCCGTTGTTTCAAATCAATGGGAGTTCTGCCTGACTCCTAGGGCCGGTAGCATGGTGCCAATGAAAGTAGACAGGTCTGTGCTCTTAGAGTCAGACACCCTGAAGAATCCACCGGCAGCGTTCCACAGACACCGATGAAAGAGCAGCTGGAAGCGGTGCAGTAAGCTGTAAAGCACGCACGGTAACGTTTGGTCTTCCTCACTTCCTTGGTGGTTTTTGCTGGAAGGAAAGAAAAGTGGAACCGTTCAGTGCCTTTGTCTGTGTCTCCCCGCTCTCCACTCCCCGCCTACTGTTTCCGAGAGCACCAGAGCTGAAGAAAACTCATTGAGCTCCGAAACCTGCAAGCACCTTCTTGACTTTGATGATGTCAATACTCCCCCACCCCCATTTCTATGGCCCAGCTCGGGAAACCCATAAAGCGGAAGTGTGAAATTAACAAACCGCAGAGCTGCAGCTATTACACCGGTGACAGTTTATTTTCCTGTAGCGCCTGGGCTCTCTGCTCAGCTTTGCATATTTAAACATAGGGATTTACAGCCTCGAAGAAGTTACCGATGTGCACTCAATGCTAAAGAGCATCAGCATTGTTACACGTACAGTAAATCCCAGCATTTGCCTTTGCGCCCTGTATCCAAAAGCGTCTACACCGTTTTAACTTGTTTAAAGCACAACGCCCAGAATCAACCTCCTGAAGACAGAACAGGAGGAAAAAACAGGTAGAAAAATAGTCCTTATCCCAAGCAGCTTCTTGGCCAGCTCTGAGGGAAGAATTCACCCGAACTCAGTCCCTGCAGTTGCGTGACTCCGAATCATTCTGCAAACTGGAGGGTTATCCAGCGCGGTGAGAAATCAGTCCTTTGGCCAAACCATCCCGGGATTTGTATTGCAGGGCTGGAGACTGGGAAATGCCAGCCTGCCTGCTGTGCGCTGAAGTAAGAAATCAGTTGTGTTATTTATGAGGGGAAATAACTGGGGTCTTCAGTTGGTTTATTTTAGTATGACCGATTTGATGGGGAGTGTGGGATTGATATAAACCATCTCCAGACCAGTACTGGGCATGGTGGGGTCAGTATCCCATATCTCACATCTGCAAGACAGTGCAGACACTATTCCTTACTAGTAGGGAAAGAGGGAGATGATGAACACCTAGTCTCCGATCTGGGGTGCACAGAATGACTGAGGATGTTGTAGGGAAAAGGTCACTTGCCAGACATCCAAGTACATGGGGACAGTTTTATATGCTCTGGAGTCTCAGTGCTGCCTGTACCATCTCTCCCCTCCCCTTCCCCCGTGGTTTTGCTTTGGGATCTCTGAAAGGAGATGGACTTAGGTTATTTGAATTTGCACTGGAGCAAGAGGCTGAATTTCAAAACTTGAACTGTGCATAAACAAGCAAAAAGAACTAGTTGATCCAATGCCTGTCAGTGCTGTGTGCATGGATCATTGTGCTGTGGGAGCAAGTGTAAAGCCTGATAAAC